ATGAGATTATGCTTTACATTTTTTGTTTCAATTTCATGCCTGTAATAAGGAAGGGAACTCTGCCAGGCAAATTAAGACCAGCGGTTCTGTTGTAGCAGAGCTAAATTTTAGGGAAACTTTAGTTTGATTATGGCCTTGATTTTGAAACTGGTCTCCGGTTGAGGGCAGGAGCTCTACTGCCATTAGGAAACGATTCCTCCCTTCATAGTCGGTCCTTTCGATTCCATTTCCCAAATGCCTTGTACAAAGAGAGCTTAAGCTATGGTAGCCTAAAAGCGACCCGTCTTGGAAATTCAGGGTAAGGAGAAAGTCGTTACTTCCTCCTTCCACTTGTACGTTGACAATGTCTAAATTATGTCTGGAGAAAGCAAAAGGCGATTTTTCGTAGGTTCCAACATACTGCTTAGCTGTTAGGATACCAAGTATTAAAAAGGTTGGCGTAGGTCCAGAGAAAACAACATGCGATGATGTGTAACTTCCGGTGGGAATGTTGAAGCTTTTCATCTCCTTGGTTTTCATTAAAAAATTAAATCGCTGATTCTTGTTTAGCATTGCATGCACGTGAGTGTGAACTTTGTCGGAAAGTTGAAAGCGATGGCAATAAAATATTGCAGATTCAACTTTAATTTGCTACGACTTTTGCGTCGGAGGACCGGTGGTGGTGGTCGTGGTGGTGGTGGTTCCTGGTACTGTAGACTTTCCAAATAAGGCTAGGGAATTTTTGCTACGCTTCACTGCTAGTGTTATATTAACTCCGTCCGGAATTAAGCGTGGTTGGGACTGCAGTGAATGCTTAAGTATTCCTGTCACTTCAAATTCTTTACTGCCATTTGAGTAGGCTTTCCGAACTGCATAGTTTGCATTGGTTGAATCATGTTTCTCGTTTTCATCCAAGTAAAATATTTCAGTGGACAATGTGGAATTTTTCACACCATCCGTCTCGAAGAGATAATTTTCCATAAAATGACGCCATGAGTAGAGCGTATTCTGATTATGCGAGATATGGGTAGAATTCAATTCAAGATTAACACTCTCAATATACGCGGCAAAAAAATCCTCATTTGGTCCTACATCATCAGCCGCGTCGAGGTTTACGCCCGAGTCTTTTAGAATCTTCAGACGAAGGTATAGATACGATGATGCCAAATCAGTGAAGTGGTTAGTAAGGCCAGGAATATGAAAAATAAAGGGATTATCCTCAGACTCTTTATATCCAGCTTCGGGCCAAATTGGACAAAAATTATCCTGACGATACGTAATATTAATGTCCGGCATAGAATAGTCTAACTAGGATGAATAGACGAGCTTTGAGTTTGCGTACGTTTCCATGATTACTTTTTCCGATTAGTTGTTTTTCTTGGTTTCCTTGTTTTTTTGACAGATTTCTTGGAGGATGCGACTGATTTCTTGGGAGATGATTTTCGTTTACGTCCACTCTTCTTGGATGTTGAAGTTGTTCTGGGTGTAGGGGCACCACCCCCACCTTGTTTTAATCTTTTAATGCTTTCGGTTTTCTAGAAATAGTTTTCGGCAGTGGGATATATGTTTCGCCATTGATACGTAGCCGTCCTCCTCCGATTTGAGCCATCCTGTTTGACTCCAACTCGCACTTGCCGTTTACACAACTTATTTTCCTCATCCTTTTGGACGTAGCTTGAGTACTACCGTTGTGGGAAGTTCTGACGGAAACAGTGGTTTCAAATTTTCGGTTGTTAATTTAATGTGAAATTTGCTGAGATGTAAACCGTTCAAAGGTTGGTAATATAATGAAGTGATTGCAATATGCTGCATCTCTTTTAACCATTTCCTTGGAAATATTCGAAGCAAATTTATGCATTTCGACCCAAAAATCTGTCCTTCAATATTGGATGATTGGATGAGAACTTGTTGGCCAGGATGAAATTGGATCATCGATTCATTCATACGCCGAAGATTTTCGCCCACGTTAAATATTGTTACGTTGTTATTGAACTCGTAAGACTCGTGTAGACCAAGAGCTTCATTCACGGCAGGTGGGAATTTAATAGACAGGTTTGTATCGTGAAATAATACTTGCAGTATTGTGGAGTGTATATCATACGAAATATCAACTCCATAAGTCGAAAGCAACAATGATGTTGTACATTCTAGCATAAGCATTTCAACATCATGAACGCTAGGCTCTTCTACCTCTAATTTTTCTTGTATTGCTCTGACGAATTCAAATTTCATTATGGTATTCATTGGAATCTCTTCCCATACATCCCTATCGACAGGGCGGACTGATGTATGAGTGCCAGACTTAAATGTATTCGTTTCGAAGCCGAGCATCTCTGCCATGATTGGTGGGGTTATTATGAAACTCATTTCTTCTGTAGGATCGATTATCTTTATCGTTGTCTTTTCAATCACGTCTCCATTGTATAGATAGGTAATCGAAAATAGTTTTGGGTTGAGCTCTTGTAGGTTTGCCTGAATTTTTGCCAAAAACGTATTAAGGGAACTAAACGTTTTCGGTATCTGGTAGTAGTAACTAAGCGTTTTAGTTAGCGTCAATACATTGTCGTCTGCTCGCTGAGCAAAATATTTCTCTTTTTTTTCATTTGAAGTTGATGGGGAATCCTTCTCTTTCTCTTTGAAAAAAATTTCAGAAACCGCGACTTCGTATTTCTCTGGCAATTCTATTAACTTGTATAACATATTGCTAAAATTAAATGCATTGTTTTGTGGAAAGAAATCCGTGCAGTGATGTGACACGAGTGTAATGGTGAACTCGGAATCTTCAATTTCTTCCCTCATTTTTTGGCTTGTCTTGTTACAATTTTATTTGGTCCTGGTAATGCTTTGTTTTTCGTCTGTCTTGTCACTCGTTTTTTTAAATCTTCCTTTGGAGTGGTGTGCACTTTCCGCTCAGTTACGGTGCCGGGATTTACTTTATTGAGCTGATAATCATAAAATGCGCCTTGTATTGGAGTTTGGTCTTTATCTGCCAAGAAGTGGACAATAACTGATCCCTTATTTCGATTTTCAATGCGTTTAATTTGGAAGATTTCATCGGTCCAGTTTTGCAGCTAGTTCTTTTCGCGCGAAATGCGTACCCAGTCGTCCTCTTTAAATTTTGTGGTAGGTGGAGGAGCAATAATGACACGGTGAAATTTCTGATGAAAAACCGTGTCATGAAATTCTGGTCTTCTTGCTTGGATCGGTGTAAGTCCACGCAAGGACGACAACCTGGTGTTTTTGTATCCTCTCGCTACTTGCTCAAGAATATTGACCCAATTTTTTTTCCCAGTTTGTGTCATGTGCATGTATAGCTTGGACTTTACTTTTCGTATGCCGATCTCGGCATACACAGATTTGGTCTGCGCTGAAGTAGTCGAGTAAAATTTGCATCCATATTCCTTAAATAATGCATTTGCTGCGTGGCTCAAGAATGCACTTTCTCGGTCTCCCCAAAAGTAACTTGGTGTAGGATTCATTGACTGCAGCATTCTTCTCAGGGCAGGCACAACATGTTTATTTCCTTTGGAAACAAGTTTTTGCAGCCACATGTACTGACTAAATACATCATAACCCAGTAAAAAATAAATTGCTCTTGTTCCACTTTGAGCCCACTTGAAGTTCATCATAACCCCAATGTCTATTGCAATTGTAGACATTGCAGACATCACCATAATGGGCCGCCTTTTAAAGCGTTTTCTAGTAGGGCCTTTATGAACGGAATATGCATGAATCTCATTCAATGCACTTCTGACTAAATTTTTACTATGCAAACGTGTGTTGTATAGAAACCTGGAAAGGCTGGCGTAGCCAGATGCGGAGCCAGCCACAGAAGTGTCAGCCACTTTTTTTTGATGGCTTCTTTTTCTTTTTGTGTTCCTTGCCTTCAATATTAGACCCACCACCAATCTGAGTCTTCTCTTCTTCTGTCTGCTCGTTGTTTACAGGACTCTCGTCCCACACGCCAAGTTGTTTCGCTTTCATATATTTTTCATCTGAGATAACTCTGAGTGTTTGCATAGTCAAAAACGCAGAGCAAGGCCTCGTCTTCGAGACACCTCAAACAAGTTTCAATAGTTTTTCTAACGACAGCTCGATTTGATGCAAGTAATTCTCGGATCTTTTTTTCCTCTAATATCGATTTGTTTTGAAAAGCCAAATAAATTTTATTTCTGCTCCGCTGTTTGGTTAAAAACTTATCTCCATTTATTATTATTTCGACAATAGCTTCTAATTTTTCAATCGAACAATCATGAATTAATAATATATATTCACCAGGAGGCAACCTGGTACAGTTAGTTAGAAATTGTAAATTTTCACAAATTCTACGAGTTGGGAACATAATAAATTTTTAAATTGTCATTTTCTGGGTCTGGGTAAAAAAAATTTCTTGTTCGCAAAATTTCTGGCGTCTCTGGGTGAAGGTCCAAAACTATGTAACCATACGGGGTTCTGGAGGCGTCTGAGAGGGCATCGTACAGAAATCTGCATTTTATAGGAAGAACAATAATGTTAAAACGTGTCTTTACAAATTTTATTTGTGTATGTGTACCTGGGAGTCTCTGGGGCATACTGCTTGTTGACGTAATTTATGTATGATTTATCACGTCTGTTGGGAAAGAAGAATAGCATGTTTGAGTTCAAACTCATTGCTCTGAAATTTTTGGGGAAGGCAATTTGGATCGTGGTTAAGACGGTAATGGATCGATGATGAGATCCTTTCGTATAGAGATCTCGTAACCATCTCATTGCCTCTGGATCATCCTCAAATTCTCCTATAAAAATTGCAAAGTCCAATGCACTTACCAACTAAGTCGTCAAGTATGAGGAGATTACCAATTTCAGTGTCAATATGTGCATCTACATCTCTCCAGTCACTAACAAATATTACCTATGATAATAAACTCCAATCAGACTCGCTCTTGTAAATACGCATGTACTTTACCTCTGGGTTTGCTGTTTGAAATTGCATCAGTTTTGGCTGCATTTGGCCGTAACAATAAATCGTCTTTAAGTTAAGAAATATTTTTTCACGATTTACAATCCATCGACAAATTTCATACGTTTTATCCACGTTTTGGTTTCCTGGAAGAATAATACAGTTGAAAAGTTGCCTATTATTTTTGTTACGTGGTTTATTACCGGTAATGAGGCCTGTAAAAGGATGGGGGACTTTGTAATGTAATAATTCTTCATTTAGGCCAATTTTGAAGGGATCCATTTTATACTGGAGTTAGCTAAGGAATAAGCCAGTCAGCTCCAAACGGAAGTGTGTTAATACCGTCAGGAAGTATGATGAGACTATTATTTGTACCGCCGAAAGCAGTAAATCGTCTTTTCACAATGCTCAATTTATGATCCTTTGCTCGAAGGAGGTTGACATTGACGTGGCGTGGTTGGTGGTTAAACAATGAATGCTTGTACATATCGTGTGTCAACCTATTTTTAGCGTCTGGAAACCCGGAACACGCCTTCCGACCAGAGCACACACAATTCCGATCACCAGAATTATTGCAAAGGATGCAGAATTCTTTGACAGAGTAGGCTTTCCCGCGTAGTGACTATTAGAAGCAAAATTGTACATTCATCTTGAATAAATTCCTCACAAAAAAACTTACCACAATCTCAATAGCTTCAAGTGTTTGCACTTTCCAATAACCACCCTCTCCTGCATGAGAACTGTCATAGAGTATGTGAAATGGGTTTAGTTCTGAATAGTCGAGATTCGGAATCGTCTTCAGTCGATCGAAAAAATCATTATTTGGATCTGGAACTTGGCATGAAATGGCGTCTGTGTCAAAAAACCCAACCTTCAAGCCCGGGCCTAACTTTGATTCCAGTGTCTCCATAAACGAGTACAGCGAACGTTTTGCTCTATAAAAACTGGATATTTTTCAATTGCACAGCGAAAGTATTTAGTGTGATGAAAGTGACAAACCTGTGCAAGACAAAACATGCTGCTGCAGGGTTCTTATTGTAACGGATTGTATTTTTGCGCATAAGAAACATGACAATTCCTTCGTTTTTATTCAAAATTTTGTAGGACATAAAATTATGCTTTGACATGAATTTAATTGCCTCGTCGTATGTACTAGCAATATGAACATCCACATACTTTTCAGAAGAAAGCATGAAGTACCCAAATATTCGATCTTGTATACTCGAGAAATAAATACCCAATATCATCCCCTGACAATTTCGCCTCTCTTCTTAACGTTGACACTAACTCGTAAAAATCCCCTAGCCAGTTGGTCTGCTTATATTTTATTGCTTTATTAATCTTACGAATCACAATTCCCCTTGACTTGTAATACTTTAAAGTCGCAATTTCACATTTGTAATCAACTTTATTTTTGACATCAAGTATTATTCTGGATTCCACTCCCCCAGAATTACCCATTCCATGCATTTCAGCCCATGCTTTTTTTTCCTTGTTGGATAGTTCTGACAGATTCATGCTTCGGCGGTAAGGCAGCAATGGTAAATTTAATGTTTTTGAAGCCACGTCTCGCGGATAGTCTAAATCTGTAGAAATGATGTAACCTGTGTCTGAATTTTCGTCCTAGTTATCTATATCTATGGTCGATAAATCCTCCACCCACTCGAATTCAGAGTAGGGGATTTTACTGCTGCGAATAATGTTTCCGTACATTGCATTCTCGTCCACCACTAATATGTGGGACCGTTCTTTGTCTGTAGTAAATGTACGAAGTCTCTCATTTTTTGCTTCCAAAAGTCTAACCACGCTTCCGCACGGCCCTCCTACATAGTCGATGAATTCAATCATATTTTTATCCTTGATGAATTGGAAGCCATTGAAAATTTTTCTAGTGCAAATATCCCAAGCAAAAGATGACAGTGTTACGTAGTGCAAAAAAGCACAACTCAAATTTCTCCATGGCAAAGTTATTAAAGCTTGTCACTATATCGGCCAGGATTAATACGTGCGACGTTCCACACAATGTTGCATAATCACGAAAAGTTTTGCACTCAAACAAGCTGTACGCGTTTTTTGATCTGATTAGGTTTTCTTCACCTTCTTCCAAGCCGAATAAACTAGTAAAGTAGCTTTGGTCAGGAAACTGATTGTATTCCAGGTAGAGCTGTGCGTAGGGCCGGGTTTGCCCTAAAAAAACCCTACCCTACCCTACCCTATAGGGTGTTGGGCGGGCCGGGTTTTTTGGCCAGGAAATTCCAGTCGGGCCGGGCGGGTCGGGCTTTTTCCAGTCGGGTTTTGGGCGGGCCGGGCTTTTTTTGTAGGGCTTCGGGCTTTTTAATTTACCCTAGTGATAAAGTACAATATGGCAATTTGAAACAAAACTTCATAGTTTTATGTAGCCCCAGCTAAACCAGAATTGTTTATCTGTAATGCTATGGAGTTGTTTTCACTGGTTGGCTGTTTCATTACACGAATCAATTTCATGAATAAATAAATCTCAACTGTAAATCACATCAGTGAGATTAAGACCAAATTATAAATACAGTTCTATTAAATACAAGGGCTTAACTCAATTTTTGTTTAAACTAAAATAACTCAAATTTAGCAAATATTGATAATAATATGCATTGGATTTGTCCACCATTGCATTTTTTATTAATACCTAGTGTGCATGTCTAATCGAGTCTCCGAAAGCCTTAGCAAGTGCTGGTTTTTTAGGATAAATACGTGCAGAACTGCACATGGGTGGGTTTACAGTAAAAAAGCCCTACCCTATAGGGTTTTGGGCGGGCCGGGCTTTTTCTCAGAAAAGCCCTATAGGGCCGGGCGGGCTGGGCTTTTTCCAGTAGGGTTTTGGGCGGGCCGGGCTTTTTTTCCAGAAAAACCCAGTAGGGCCGGGCGGGCCGGGTTTTTTCCAGTAGGGTTCTGGGCGGGCTGGGTTTTTAAAAATCGGGCCCGTGCACAGCTCTAATTCCAGGCTTTCTGGCCCAGTGTAAAATGCCCAGGGGTAAGACAGTGAGGGAATTAATGTGTGCAGATGTTCTTCTTTTCCTTTGTAGAATTCGAACAATAATGGACATCTGCTCGGCCAGTTTTCTACAGGATTTGCACTAAGGTGCCTAGTAACAAGTTGTTCAAGAGGTGCATCTAGAAAAAACTGGAAATCCAGAAACCTAACTCCCATGAGCTCTAGTAGTAGAATCTCATGCTCAGTTTTCATTACAATTTTGGCTTTTGACACCCATTCGCTTTTTAAACTCGTTAAGATATTGTGCAATTCTTTTCTCGCAATTCCATGCCCAATAACAATAGGTGTAGGTTTGATTCTGATTAGAGAGTTGCAATTCCGGCACAATGTGTGTCGAAACGCTCCAGTTATTTTGTCATGATCCGCTACTTTGGGAAATGCAGCAGAAAATTCCACCGTACATATAGGACAATTTATGCTTAATTTGTGTTCAAGTTCTTGCAAGGATGTCATGACTATTGGACACTTAATCTGTAAAACTCGCTCCCTGATTTCTTCTACTAACTCAAATATTCGCTTTAAAAAGAATTCTATAGCATTATTTCCAAAGTGAGAATCAGTGTACAGGAGTTGGTTTTTTAATTGATTGTGAGCACCTACAACACATAAGCTATAACCGCATACTTCTAGATTGTTATGAATGCTCGTGTAGGTCAGGTCCGCCGGATAAACGTCGCTTGTGTAAGTCTCTGGGGTGGGACAATAATGGAATTTAAAGTAAATTTTAAAGGGGATTTCCTCATAGCATTTAAAGTGCTTGAAAGAAAAGTAATCTTCTTTTGGAAATGTTATTTTTCTCACTCCATCTTTTTGCATACAAACCTCTTGGTGGCGAGCAAGATTACTATACGTTCCGAAACAAAATTGGCAAACCTGTTTAATACAGGAAGTTAAAAAAGCACACAATGGCTACTAAATTGGTGTATTTACTTGTTTCCTGTGGTGCCCGCCTGCTGACGCATACGAGATTGGCAACGTCATAATCAAGCAATAATGATACCGATATTGGCGATATTGGACGTCAAGAAAAGATGTTGGCATTTCTTGGCCATGCTGAAGTATAGGCTGCTTGAGCAATAATAAATCGCAGTGACGCATAATTTCTTTAATTTCTTTAATATTTCTTTAATTTCTGCGGCTGGACGAATGGGGTAAAGTGATTTTCCATCATTACCAAAGATTGTAATTGAAATGGAAGGATTATTATCCAAAAAAAGTGACACTGAATCCAGGTCGACACCGTTATAACAGCCAGAGAAATTTATTTCATTTGTTTCGCTGAATTCTTGAATTAAATGTTCATATGAGGAAGAGTTTTAGGCGTAACTTTTGATTTTTGTTTAGGTCATCCCATTGTTTATTTGGCTCATCAGGCAAGCATATTCTTCTTCTGCATAGCCCAGCGGTTTACACATCTGACAAAACATAAAGCGTCTTCTGGGTCTGGGGATTTGATATTCAAAAAGTGTCTTGCACTGAGCTGCTTCGGAAGAGGAATAAAGCCTTTTGCAATGCCAGTTTTATATTTTCCGATCTTAACTTCTAACGAATTTATGGAGTCGAGAGAATATCCACTTTCTCCGTCGCAGTACAGATCTAAGCTTGTTCCTATAATTTATTTACATACTTGAATTGCAGAACACATACATAAAACAACACATGTTGCTTATATTTACCAATATAATCAGCACAGGCTCGCATTGTTTCCAAAATATAGTTGGAATTGAACACACGATTGAATGGAGTGAATAGAGAAACATCTTTAATAGTTTTCTTAATGACAAGTGTAACATCCAATGAGACAGAAACCCTTATATTTTTATGAAGATGCAAAGCATGGGTCAGTATACTTTGAAGTTCATCATAAACAAATTCGAATGTTTCGCTTATTGATTCTAACACCACGTCGTCAAACTTGCATTTGTAAGTGAGAATTATTCCTCTGAACACACTCTCAATCAATCTGAATTGTTGAAGATTTAGGTGGTAATCTTGTGGGTCAGAAGATCCAAAACCGGTTTGAACAGGTGGACACAAAGTTCACATCGTCAACATAGCTGCAAAATGAGAAAAATGTATATAGGACAACGAGTTGCACGTATTGCGTATGTAATTATTATTACCTCAGACAACAATTGCATTCGTGTTTGATTTGAAGGTGGTAGGAAAAATGCTTGTACTAAGTAAATGAAGTATCGGGGCAAATTGGACACCCAAGACGGCGTTGAATGACCTTTCTCCCCCACTTATTCTCATATCGTTCTATATAAATTATTGGCTGAATCGGACAGGAATTCTGTGGCTCGGCTACTGGAGCAGTGAACTGTGGTAATAAACTTGTACTTTGCATTCTCGACACGTCACCCGCACCTCACTGAGAAGCATACAATCCAAATTTGTGTTTGTTTTTTCAACTTTTAAGTACTTTTTTTGTCTGCATACGCAACAGTTGCGCTGAAATCCTTCTGATGCTGTTACTGCTTTCCGTAAAAACAATTTGCGCAGTTTTCTTGTTAAGATATCCATCACTCGTCCTCGTCACTAGCTGCAGTGCATAACATGTCCTGGTAAATATTTAACCTTTTATATTCATCGATTAATTCTTTGAAACCAGAGAAGAATCTAGTTTGTGTAAATCTTGTATCAGTTATCTGCCCATTAATATAAAGTGATGACAGAGTTTTAACTCTCGAGAGCTGTACGTATGTCTGTGATGGAAAAATTTCTTGGTTTGTTAAATCAACAACTGCTGTATCGAATTGTAAGCCCTGAGATTTGTGAATTGATATGGCATATGCTAGCTTAATTGGGAAATATGAGACATTGAATGAGAAGTTCCAATTTTTGTGTTTAACTATCTCCTTTATAGGAGCAATAGGGACTAGCCCATTAAATTGGGGGAGGTCTACACCCTCAAACGCAACCATCAAAACTGCTGGAGAATTCAAATTGATGGGATCAAAAATAATTCCGTGTATTGTCCCAATTGTATTAGTTGATAATCCTAGGCCCAGATGTAAATTTCTTTGGAGTAAAATTTTTGCATTAAGACAAATTGGAAAGATATGCTCCTCGTCTGTCATTACAGGGGTTGCTGGAATTTGAACAGGTTTGAGCTCAATTATGGGGTAGCCTAGCGCCCTGCATTTCATATTATTTACCTCCCTAATTTGCGAATTTAATGGTAGAATATGAATTGACGAAGAAAACCGTCGCCTTTCTTCCTCGGACAAATTGCATCTAGTTCTTAATAATGCTACATCAAATTCTGTCAGTTTCTTTCTCCTAATATTAAATAGGAGCTTTTGAAAAGCTGGATCGCTTTCCTGTCTCATTACCGATTTTAGAACAAATATTTGCTTGAAAATTGTTCTATACAAATCTTGACCCTGTTTTGCAAACGTGTGGAGTTTATCTCTCCTCGTCCATAAATTATATGACGCTACTGGCCACATTTGGCTCAAATCTTGTATCATGATACATGATAAGCCTGCAAACGGGAAAGGTCTGCCTAACTGAATAGATAGACAAAGCGAGATGTAGTTTAGAAATGATGGATTTAGCACGCTAGATTCGTCAATTAACAGTAGTTTAAAGTTTGTAAATTCTTTAATTAATTTTGGTGATTTTTTTAGACGCAAAGAAAGGGTTTCGAAATTGCAAGATTTGTAGAAAGGAATGTGCAAAACGCTCCATAACGTCCTCCCGTCAATTAATTGCTTGCTACTACTACCATAGCTGCTACATGCTACTACACCTAGCCCTTTTTCTTCAAGTTTCTCGTGAATCTCACGGGCAACTTGACTTTTTCCAGTCCCTCAACCTGCAAATTTTTATATCCTCCCAAAAATGCACAAGCCTTTTACACAATTTCCAACAGGACGGCCAATTAGCAGTACCTGCAGCGCTATTAACAGATACATAAGCGAATTTGTTGATTTTGTATTGAAACCAATAATTACTTACATTCCAAATTTATTAATTGATACAAATCACTTTCTGTTGCTACTGGAGGATATGCAGTTAGACCCAAATTGTAAATACGTATTAATTACTTATGATATATCCAGCATGTACACTA